TAAAATATATATATATATTAGGACATTAAACTTAATAAAACTCAAATTACAAAATACTTACCTCGTTACTAAGATTTTCCCCACTTCTATGGTTGTCCATCGCTTTGGCCAAGGCATCCCTCCATTTTCCCAACTCTTTATTGAGAATTTTACACCTACTAGACAATGCCATTTCCGTACGAGTCGACCCCGGAATTTTTTCACAAAATTCGGCATGAATTTTTTTCCACATATGAAAAAATTTCATCTCATTGCCTGTCACGGGACAATGACAAACTTGGAGCCAAGCCTCACACAAGGAAACATCTTTCATGGTGCTCCACGCCCCTCCGGTTTCGATAGAAGAAGCCATAAAAATAAGAAGAAAAAAAATACAAGGTGAAAGAGAGGAAAATGTTGAATAAAGAGTGAATAATAGTAGAAGTAGAATAAAATGTATAAGGATTGGTCTTGAAAGTGAAGGGTATTGATAGGTATTTATAGAAGAAAAAAAATCAGAATTTTTTAGTATTTTTTTTTTTAAAATTCGATTTTTTTTCATAATTTTATTGCCAAAAAAATGCTAGCCGTTGGATTGGAGGAGAGAAGCAGATCGGAGCGCCCAGGGCTTGACAGCTGGCTTCTACCCGTTGGAGCTGGCGCAGGGCTGATGTCAGCGTACGCGAGTTCAAATTTTTTTTACCGTTGGCACGTGACGGTAAAAAAAATTTGAAGCCGCACGCTGACGTGCGCGCGACGTCAGCAGCCCTCGGTTTGGGTCTCGGGCGAAACTGGCCTTCAGGCCAGCCCACTGTTGGTGGGTCCCACTCCCCCCCGGGCCTGGGCTCCTCGCTGGAGCCTCTTTTTTTTTTTTTTCCTCCCCCCAGCCCTGGGCTCAGCTCCTTGGTGGAGTTGCTCTTACGTGATGACAGAGGTGGAGAGGAATAGCGTATGCAAAGTAAGCAAAAATTAAACCTGTAATCAACTTGATGGTGAGAACAAAGAACTTGCAATAAATTATATGAGAACCAATTTCTACCTCCAGTTGTAAAAACTGGTTCTTCAGATAAACCTCTCAAGAAAAATAAAAAAAGGTCCTTTCAGTAACTCTGTAAAAACGTTTTAAATTAGTAATATTACAATGAACTTGTACCTGAAACATTAACACAAGTTCAAATTGACCTACACAATATCATCACCCGTTCATTGCAAGTTTATTAATTAACAAGCACATAAAAAATACACTGACAAACTAAGTAAGCCAACTCTTTCTATGAAGGAAAACAATAGAAAGCACAAGAATTCTTTCTCTGAACCATGGACAAGAAAGAAACAAAACCAAAAAATATAAGTGAAAAAAAAAAGTTAATTGAGGCATATAGCTACACATCGACTTTGCGTGAATTCAACAGAGCTTTTGAGGAACCTGCTGACTGTGATGAATTATAAGTAGTGCAGCTGCTACACGAACACTGCGTTCCATCTTTAACCGATGATCCGGTGAGGTTAAATGATGTGTAGGAGAACCTACACATACTCAGTGGAGGTGCAAAGTACATTGGCACTGGCAACTTTGATGGCAGGCTTGGCATTGGAGCTTCAAAATTGAGAACGTTTATGACTTGCCTAATAGACGGCCTAACAGTAGGATCAGGATGGCAGCACCATAACCCAACTGCCATCAAGCACTCTATTTGCTGCTCATCAAAATCCCTACACAATCTTTTATCAGCAGCTTCAAGTATTTGGTCTTTTCCATAGAGATCCCAAACCCACTCCACCAGCCTTACCCTGCTTGGTTCTGCCTTTGCTTCAACTGGCCTCCTTCCACAACCGATTTCTAGGGCAACCACCCCAAAACTATACACATCAGACTCTTTGCTAGCCCTGCCAGTTGTCACACACTCTGGGGCTAGGTACCCCATGGTTCCTGCCAAAACAGTTGTTTGTGACCCCAAATCATGGTCTACAAGCCTTGCAAGCCCAAAATCACCTAGCTTGGCATTGAAGTTTGAATCCAACATCACATTGCTTGACTTGATATCTCTATGCACCACACATTGTTCCCACTCCTCATGAAGATACAAAATGGCAGAGGCCAAACCAAGGGCTATTTTGTACCTTAGTGTCCAAGTTAGGTGAAGTTTCATTCCAAACAGATGGGAATCAAGGCTTCCGTTTGGCATAATTTCGTAGATGAGAAGGAACTCGCTTTGTTCATGACACCAACCAATGAGTTGAACCAAATTTCTGTGCCTCAATCGACTGATGATCCTCACTTCCGCTACATACTCCTTTTTCCCCTGCTTTGATCCTCTAGACACCCTCTTCACAGCCACTTCTGTGTTGGATTCACTTAACAAGCCCTTGTAGACACCTCCAAATCCTCCCTCTCCAAGCTTCCCTCCCTCTGAAAAGTTATTTGTTGCACGACTTAGTTCGCGGTAAGTGAACCTACGGGGCCCTGTTCCTTTGTCAAATTCATCATCCATAGACATGTCATATGCCTCATCTATCTTGTCAACCCTTTTCCTCCAAGACATGAACCATAACAGGCCTAATCCACAACTCAAAAGCCCGAAACCCGCTCCTAAACCAATCCCCAACCTTAACTTTTTTTGCGCTTCCTTATTACTGTTGATCTCCAGGGTTGAACTAAATGACCAAGACAGGATGTTATGTATTTCAACCCAATAACCTGTGGCAGCAGAGAAACCAACACTAACTAGCTCTGGCAACACGTCCTTCAAATTTACTATATAAGAGACGCTACAATCTCCAACATTGTACACTGGATTTTCAGAATAAGTTAGGAAAACACTCAAATTTCTGGTGGTGGAGTTGTAAGTCACCCATGCATTTGCTACTGATCCATTTTTCATGGTAGTTTTCCATGAGACATTAGCTACCGAGGCAATGGAATTGACATTGATTCCTACATGATCAGGGTTTGGATCCCATTCATTCTCATGACTGTCAAACTCAACAGCAACAATGTTATTTTTGGAGGCGTTTAAAGCAGTCTCAGAGCTAAATAGTGCAAGGTATCCACCAGTTGAATTGTTGGGAATCTCTGATCCAAATGGTGCAAGGAAGAAAGATATGCCGTCCCCATAGTGTGTGTCGTTGAGAGCTTTCATGACAAAGGAGAAATGAGTTGTGAAGTCAGTGAGCCTCCCTGTGCTGGAGTCCCAAAGGCGCACCGGTTGAAAGTATGTGGCTCGACCAGCGCTCTCAGTCAAGGAATCATCAACTTGATTCTTTGTGAGTTGGATGACTCCTCCTGATGGAAATGCATCGCCTTGGAAGTTTAAATCCTTCGTATTGGTATTAAAACTGGAGATGTTGAAGGAGAATGACTTAACATTTTTTAGTAATAACAGCAACAGAAAGATGTGAATGAGAAGTGAGGGTAAAGTTTGTGCTTGGAGGTGTGAAAATGGTTTGAAGAAAGCCATGGTTGCAAGGCCTGCATTCGGAAAGAAAAGCAGGAAGGAAGATGTATGCTTATTTGGATGGAGAGGCCTAGGCAGTTCAACTATATGGTTGTCCTGTTTCAAGACTTGGTTTTATTAACCAAGTCAATTTCATCAAAGGATATTCTTCTCAGCTGTTCTCACTCAAATACTCTACGTATACACACACTGCATTCTGATCATATTTGTTTTACCATAATCTATCATTCTTGAAGTGTACATAAAATACGTGTATCGTGACGATTGAGTTGCTGGATTTTAGTGTTTTCTCTGTACATTTGGCGGGGAATGTGGAAGCAGATGTTACTAATTAATTTAACCATTGTGATGTTCGGTCGGCTTGCTGCTTTTTTTTTCTTTCTTTTTTTTCATTTGTTGGCCAGGATTAAATTATTTATGGTTTCCAGGAATAATATGACTTTGTATCTTTCATTCTGACTGTTTTTTTTTCTTTTTCAATTGCTCTGTCTACCCCAACTCAACAAAACATTAAACACAATAACCTGTTTTCTTACGTTAATTTAAACTATGCATTACATCAGCCTTGGAGAACAGCTGAGAATTAAAGTAATGTAAGAGTGTGACAAAATAACAGGACAAAATTGTGTTTTGATATTTTCTTCCACACCTCAAGAACAACGCCGGTCGCCGTCCTAATTGTATATTTTCGAAGAGACTGGATAGGATGGTTGAATTCTCAAAGAAAACAAAACCATCTCCACCCCAGCCTGCCGAATAAGAAAAGATTTGAGAAACAAGGGTCAAGGTGGTCATATATCCCATAAATCAAAGGGGAATGCTAGCAACTTTTTCTCCAATCTTCTCTTTTGGACCTTCTCCCTTCTCCTAATGACATGTGTCTCTTTCCTCACACTTAAAACAATGTTAACTAATGCATTAAATAAGATAACATTTGTTTTCCAAGTTTACCCCTTATTAAATGGTATTCTCCTTCAATTTGTTCAAAAACAATTTTTCAACCTTCTTACCACATGTAAAAAATTAAATAATAAAAAATATCAGTTTTTTAAAAAGAAAATGTCTATTTTTTTAATAGAGATAAAACGTCTATTTTTTAAACACAATAGAAAGATCTCTTTTTTATATAGAAAAGGCGTCCTTCAAAGGAAGTTCATTAATTTCCTTTTTTTTTTTATACTACAGAATAAAGTTAAAGAGCATTTTCAATAACAACTAAAAATATTTAAAAAAACCCCAATAATCAGATTCCAAAGGAAGTTCATAGTTTTATTTATATTTATTTATATCCCTTACCGCCCTTGGAGTCTGATTATTTGAAAAAAAAATTCCTAAAATTCTGGCATACCAAAATTTCAATTTAAACCAATGTCTCTCCTTACTCCTTTTGGAGTCTTTTAGAAAACAAAAAATAAAACTAACATTTTTTCTTAATTAATTTTTAACAAGGTGGTAAAAAGTTCGTAATTTTTTTTTTGATAAATTAAAGGAAACATTAACATTAATATATTTAGTAAGGATAAATTTGGAAAATAAATATTAGCTTGTTTGATGTATTAATTACATTGTTTTAAGTGTAAGAAAGGAGACACATGTCATTAAGAGAAGGGAGAAGGTTGGAGAGAAGGTTGCTAGCATTCCCCTAAATGAAATACTTCTCTTTTGCTGTTTCAAAATTCTTTCAAATGTTTATATATATATACAGTTTTGCTCACATCAGAATGACTAGATTTTAATTAAAATGCGGACACAAAAGATGAAATGTCAGATCAATCCAATGGTTCTGCAGCTTTGATATATATTAATTGACAAAACTTAAAACCACGCGCAGCTTTGATTATTGAATTAATTTAATATTATATCAAACTTATCATACCTTTCTCTCTCCTTCTTTCTCTCGATTACCTCACGCTTTCCCTTCTCTCTCTTCTTCTTCGCTCTGTCTCTCAACCTCTCATTATTTTATTAATTTTCTTTCTCTTTCTTCTTCTATTTCTCTCTCTCTCTCTCTCTCTCTCTCTCTTTGCAACTTCTCTCCGTATGTCTCTCTCTCCCTCTTCTCTGCTTCTTCTGCTTCTTCTCCTTCTTAACAAAGGGGGCTTAAGCCCAGAGAACAATGGTTTCATTAAGCCTGTTGTTTTTTCCTTGAGTCAAATAGCTTGTGGAAAATGCATCACATGCCTCTTTAATTTCTAGATTTCCACAGACATTTCATTAAGCCTGTTATTTTTCCTTGAGTCAAAAAGCTATGAGAACAATGAGACTTGTAAACATTTATCCAGATCAAACGAACAATGGATTTTGATAATTTGTGCATTGCGATGGGTGTTTCTTTGTTTTTCTCTACAAGTCAACAATCTTCTGGAAAACACACCCCTTAGAGCAACTCCACCCATTTGCCCTTAGCCATGGCAAGGGGGGAGCTAGGGCAGCAACTATTCATGTGAATAGTGGTTGCCCTTGCAAATAGTATATTTTGTGTTTCCACCCGTTGCCATGGCTAAGGGCAATTACTATTCATTTTTTTGTTTTTTTTACAAATTTTTTTACCTCAATAATTAATTCGGATAATATTTTGTTTTTAAAACCTAAAGAATTAATTTTGAGAATATTTCGGATAAGATTTCTTTTAATTATATTTTGTTTGATGTATTGAATGTGTTGAAAATTTTGTGTAGAAAATGAAAAATAATAGAAGGAGAAGAAATTATAAGAGGATTTTGTGTTGAAAATGAAGAAGAATGGTAGGTATTTATAGAAAAATAGTTCAGAACTTTTTGGTGAATTTTTAAATAATTATTCGAATTTTTTTCACATTTGTTTTGTAGATTATTTTCAATTTTTTTTGTTATCTCAATCGGATAAAATTTTGGTATTTATAGAAAAAAAAAAT